GTCACATGTGTTTTTCTTCTTCGAGTTCGAGCTGTCGCCCACCACCCTGTGCAGACAGCTCGTTGAACGTCTCACGCTCACAGGCCCGTCCCGCAGAATGTCCAGTGCACTGTGCGGGACGGCGGCTGCCACCATGCGGGGGTGGGCACGGCCCCCTGTAGGAAAGCTCCCGTCACGGAGGACGACCCGGGACCAGGCCTGGCGGGCGCAGGGCCCACAAAATGGAGGTCGCCATGCCCTCTCGAGAACCGACCAACAATGTCATTCGCTGACAGACTCCGCCAGGTGGTTTTGGGAGCCTTTCGGCGGCCTCGGCAAAACCACGTTCCTGAAGTGGGTGTACCAAAATTACGAACAAGTCGTAATCCTCAGCGGCAAAGCCGCTGACATAAAGAACGGCATCATCGAGTGCCAAAAAGGGCAAAAGGTACTCGAGAACCCGAGTCGCGAATAGGTGACAAAAATGTAATTCGGGTTTCTATCTCACCTCCGAAGCATGGCGTTATGGTCGCGCTCATGCACACGGTAAGAAGGCCCAGACCTCCGACGATGTGCTTCTGTTCAGTGCACGGTCCCAACAGGGTCCCGACCTCCTCCAAGGTGGCAGTTGTCCGTCCTGGATCCATGTCTGATGGCCTCTGGGCCAGACAGCAAGCCCTAGAGGCCCTAGAGGCCAAAATCGCTGATAAACTGCAGGATTGAGTACTGGCCGGCGTGGGCCCAAAATCGCGAGTCGGTGCACTGCGGCGATGAGAGCTGTGCGAGGTAAGCGCCGTGGTTGTGGCTTTGATGCGTAAGCTGCGTGGTGTGAGCTACGTGGTGGAAGCTACAGTCGGGGCGTTGCCCTAAGGAATGATAAATAAGGAACGATGCCTATTGTTTCCATTAGCTCAACTTCGATTTCCCGTCGAAAGCTTGAAAACCTAAGGCAAGCTGTGAAACAATTTAGGAACACCGAGCCTCTTCCCAATGAAAAGGGCTCCTTCTTCAGCGCCCCGACTGTACATTGCGTAGCCATGGTGACGTGGTGGAAGCTGCACGGTGTGGGTGGAAGCTACGTGGTGGAAGCTACGTGGTGGAAGCTACGTGTGTGGTGTGAGCTAGGTGGTGTGAGCTACGTGCGGTGTAATCATGGGTGGTGCGAACTATACTGTGCAAGATGATGTTATGCAAGGGGCGCCCACGAGCATCCACGAGGCGCCCTCGGGTGGGCACGGGACGCCGACGAGACTACACCTCGGCGGACGGGCCCGACGACGAAGGAACGGAGGCGAGCACCCCGAAGTGCAGGCACTGCTGGAACCAAAACACGACTCGGGGGCGCGCAAGCATGGATCAGCGCTCCATGGACTTGGCGCGCGGTCGCCAAATCCATGGATCGGGGGAGGTGCCCTCCCCGAAATGCGGCCGGTGCCGCCTCGCTCGGCGGCGGAAATCCGCGATTTCCCATGGAAACGGGACCCGTCACTAGTCTACGCCCCCTTAATCCATGTTTGCGATCGCCTGAATAAACAAAAACAAAGTCGGAGATACCGAAGCGGCGACCCGGGATTTCCGGGCCGCGATTCGGGCCTCCAGCGGGCGCTCGGGACGATCCGAGCGCCCCAAAAACGCCCTCGGCGAGGCGCAGCTGTAGAAAAGGCATCCCAAGGCGAGAAGACCTCCGTGAACCGCCGGAAGCTTCGGCCTCCCCCGGTCCTCCCCCCCGCTTCGTGGACGCCCCCGACGGCTCCCTGGGCGACGGGCAGGACCGCATCCGGCCCTCCCCGCACGGCGCGCGCGTGTCCGCGGAGCGACGGAGGGGCGCACGCGGCCAGGTGGTGTGTTTGAGAGCGAGAGAGAGAGAGAGAGAGAAGAGAGAGAGAGAGAGAGAGACGGCCTCGGGTGCCCCCTTCTGCAGGTGAGGACGGTGGGGGGAGGCCCGGGATGAGGACAACTACCACCAGCCCTCTGGGCTCTGAGATGGTCTAGTCTAAAGAGCTTCCTATTCCAGCCCTCTTCCCCTTCGCGGAGGGGCGCATCAGTCCTGCACTGAGAAACATCCACTCCCCCATTCGACCGGCGACCGAACGGAAACAATGCCAACCCCCATCCCCCATCGTCCCAGTCAAAAATCACTTCAACGTGCACTTTGTGGCAATGCGATCGCTGTTCCTCATTGATATACACCCTCTCCCCCCACCTGACTGCATGCGAACCCGGAGACATGATACCCCCCCGACCTTCCCTGTCAGGAACGATACACAGCGCACGTTGCGGCAAAATCTGGACTATGCGCGGGCACCAAGCGATCACGCTTCATTGATTTTGACAGGCGACGAAGGTGCCGGCATATTGAATTGCCTGCTGGGCGCAAGCCCACTACCCCTGTCAAGAACAATAGGGAATGCACTTTCTGGCAAGGACTATGCGCGCTATGCGCGCGTGCCCCGCGATCACTTTGCATTGTTATTTGACAATGGTGATGGGGGTGCCCTGGCGCGCGCGGCGTACCTCGCGGGCGTCGTGCACCTCGTTGGCGTCTGTGATGGTCGATGGCGGCTCCTGTCCAAGCCGAGACTCGGGTGCTACTTCTGTGTTGGGACGGCGGCCAGGAATGAGCGCGACGGCTTGTTGCTTGTGGGTAGCCTGAGCCTGTTCGCTATTGATCAACACCCCCTCCCCCAGGCGACCGGCGGCTAACCAGGACCCATGTCCTCCCCCCCACCATCCCTGTCAAAAAAACACACATGGTGTCCACTTTGGGGCAAAATCTTGGGTCATGATCGGAGGGGCTGCGAGCACTTTGTCTTGTTTTTGACAGGGACGGCGGGGGTACGCGCATATGGCCCGCTGCGCAAAGGCCAGCAACCATTTCAAATAGTAATACAAAATTCACTTCGCGGCAAAATCTGGATCATGCGCGGGCACCCCGCGATCACTTTGGCGGGGGGGCTGGCATATTTCCTGCTGTAAGCAGGCCCACCAGACACTATGATGGCCGCCCCGCCGCGATTGCGCACTGGTTTTCGACAAGGGTGGTGGGGGCCGACACGTTTCCCGAAGTGTAGTGCCACGTGCGCAGGCGCACCTGGCACACTCTGCGCGTGCCCCGAACGGGGCGCACCTGGCGCGGCTGGAGCATGCGGCACACATGGCGCACGCGGCTCACGTGGCGCATCTGGCGCATCAGGCGTGCCTGGCACGCTTGGGCTACAGGGGTGCCTGGCGCAGGTGGCGCTCCTCGCCTCAGCGCTGCGCACACAGGGTCTGTGTTGGTTCCCAGTAGCTGCCTATCCAAAGACGACCGCTGAACATGCTGCGGCTCGGGTGCTATCGTGCTGGGAAGGCGCGTGGGAGTGAGCGAGCTGGTTTGCGGGCGAAGAGGTTGTCTTGAACCCTTCCCCCACCTCCTCCCCTGGGTCTGGACGGCTTGCCTCGCGAGGGGTTGGAGCATCCAAGATGGCTGGGATAAGTCGGAAATCTCTGAGGGCCAGCGAGTTTGGAGTGCGCATCGGGCACCGCGGCCAGTCCCAGAGACCTCTGGAACGCCCTTGGAGCGGTTGGGAACGCTTGGGAGCTACTTATCTCGTTCGATATCGAGCGATTCTGGGCTCATGACACCGCGGGTCGCAGCCGCGTCGACACGACGCGCACCTACCAGGCAAGTGCAAGCTTCGAGCCGATGCGGGAATCCCTGCCCGAGTCACCCGGGCCCAGGCGTCCAAATGCTGCCCAGCGCAGGTGTCCAGATGGTCGGTTCCAGAAACTCTGAACCCGAACGTGTCGACGTCTCACTTTTACTGCCGCCACCTTCCGACGACCTTCCGACGGCGGAGCCGAAGGCGAGGAAGGCGCCGAAGGCGAGGCTGGAACGGCCTAGATGAAGGTGTCCAGGCTCAGGCGAGCGCATATGTCCGGCCGCAAGCTTCCAGGGTGCAGGTGTTCGGGAGGCAGGGGTGCCGGCCAGTCTTCGGATGGGACATGGGACCTACATGCGCAAGCTTTGCCTGCAGCGCGTGGGTGCCCCCCCGGGCGCCCAGACTTCAGCGCTCACACCAGAGCTGGTGACCTCAGATTTCTCCTCGGAGCCCGCACGCCCTGCTGCGCGCAACTGAGCGTTGAGGCTCGGGTGCCAGGGCGGGGTGCGGACAAAAAGCCTGCGCCGTGTGCTCGCCGAGGGTAGCAGGTGACCTCCGCGACTTCGCGCCGACCCGCTGGAGACGTCGTCGACGACGACGACGACGACATCCGCACTCCGCGCTGCTCGAAGCGCGGCCACCTCCGCAGCACTCCGCGCCTCCCCCCTGGAGAAGGACCGGCCTCCTGGCCCAGACCACGACGCGCGACGCGCGGCTGCCTCCGCGCCCCTGCGCAGGTCGTCCGCCGCCGCTCCGCTCGCTGTCGTCCGCCGCCGCTCGCTGTCGCCGCCGCCTCGGCGGCCGTCCGCAGCCGGCGTCCGCCGCCGCCTGGTCACGAGGAAGAAGAGGAGGAGGCTGAGGAGGAGGAGGAGGAGGAGGAGGAGGGAGAGGAGGAGGAGGAGGCGGAGGAGGAGGAGGAGGAGGAGGAGGAGGAGGAGGAGGCGCAGGAGGAGGCGCAGGAGGAGGAGGAGGCAGGCAGGCTTGGGCTTCCAGGCTGCGGCGTCCAGGCTCGACCGTCGAGGTGCGGGACCGCAGGCCGAGGCGCCCAGGTCCTGAATGCCTCCAGGCCCAGGCTCGGGGTGGCGAGAGCCCAGGAGAGTTATAAAAGCAAGGACTACGAACGGCGCCAACATTAAACAGTTCGGCGCCGCGTCTCGTGACGATGCCGTCACTGAACACGCGGATTCCTACATCTGTCCTTGCTCACTCTCTCAGACAAACACATCCTGATTCAAAATCGCCCCCTGGAACCCTCGAAGGCGCCCTCCTGACAAACTTGTCGAGACGCGTCCAACTATGGCGACAATGGGGCTCCCACCAGACACACGTGAGATGATGAGCAAACGGACAAATGGGCTCTCGTTCTGCATGCGCAGCCAG